ACCAGTCCATTCCAGTAAGACCCTCCTTGCTCCACTGGAGTAGTTCTTCACATGTTTGCAGTCATCCTTGAACGCATGCGTATCCACATGGCGAGACATGACGTTGCTGGAGCACCCTCCATCACGGGACCTCGGCAAATCGTGGATCACGCGGCAAATCGTGGATCACGCGGCAAATGTACCACAACTCGAATCGCATGTTCCATCAGTACCAGTTTCCCAGCACGACCTCATCCCACGACTTGTACGACGTCGAAGTCGTGACATGCCCCGACACTGGAGCCCTTGAGTACGTCCATCGCCGACAGTTCGACATCGCCCTTCCGGCGTCGTTCCTGCTGCAAATGTACCGAGATATCATCGGCTACCTATTGGTTCAAGAAAACTACACTCCTGTGAGATGTCGTTCCCCCAGGGTCAAAAGTCATCTCAACTGGAGGTAGGTCTTGTCGGAATCGAACGGACCGACGACGATGCACTCGACGCCGCTGCATGTTCCAGACCACATCGAGCGACTGCATGTGGTCACCGCGACTTTCCAAGATCACCCGAGTCGGCATGTGTTTGTAGCTCAGCAAGTCCACCGCGACCCCCAATACACTTCGTATCTCCATAATCAGCGAAATCGATCCCTATGGTAAAGTTGTGCTTTCAAGCGAAATTTAGCGATAGATTTCGAGTGAAATTTCGTGTTGTGGCGTGGTTTGTCGTTGGAATTTAAATCGATTTGATTGGCTACTTCAGTTGAGCTCAAAATTATTAGCCAATCAAAACCTTCTCAATAAAATTCAACCAATCAGATCGATTGTATATCAGTTTGGTCGGCGCAAAGATTCGATTGCACCCCCTCCCCAAATTTCTATCAAATCGACAATATTTTCGGTAGATTTCGACGAATCCACTGAATATCGTCGAGATGTGTCGTTTTACTTGAACTAAGTATACCTCCCTGTCGGTACAACGTTGAACCTGGCAATGGATACGCCTGCAATTTGATTGGTCGACAAGTTTTTTAGAAACATTCATTGGCTACTTCCGTCGATTTCGATCCAGTCCATTTTGAAATCGAATTCTTCATACCATATATTAATATGATGATGATATCCTACTTGTGCGAGTATGATTGTTGTATAATATATACCAATGGTTGTTGTTAGGTACGAAGTGCTAGCGTTGACCCCAACGTCGTCGAGACTGCGGTGCTTGTTCATGTACTCGCAACTGTTCGACGGATGCGGCGACCCCGTGGCCTTCCCCGATGAAGCCAAGTGCTGGGGCTTCTATCCATCCATGGACCAGTCCGACGGGTTGCAGCGCATGAGGTTCAGGGACCAGAAGCGAGCGGCGGCTGCAAGACACCTCTCCGTCGCCCAAGCACGGGTACTGGCCTATGTCCACGGACGGCACCACGCAGCCTCGACGAAATAATAATAATGGGATACTGTAAGGGTGTATTTTTAAAACGTTTGTTTATAGGTTTTATTGAAATAACCTATCAACTCTGAAATATCAGCCGACTTTTACCTGTTAATCTTGGGAAAGCTCACTCATTATATGTATATCGCTCACGGTTTTCTGCATATTGGAAACCTCGAAACTTGAAACATTCAGTAGCGTTCGACTATATCACGATGACGAATTCGAACGCCAAAGGATGACTACCGGTAGTTAGTGGTGGAAGTAAGTTAGTATGGTGAACGTCACCTATAAACTAACGTTACCAACTTTTCACAAAATGATCTTGATGCTATTTCGTTTCTCAAAATTTGAGCCAACAGAGACTTGAATCGAGGGATCTTAACGTGGAGAAGAAATTCTACGTCTCAGATTTAGATTTCATGAAGAATTGGTCAAGAAATACTACACCATTTTGCGTTTAATTTCAGCTTTTTTTCAAAATATTTCCATTAACCTCCGATATATTTCACCGAATCGCCAATATAATTCACCCAACCTCCATTATATTTCACGCCGAATTGAAATTTGGCCATTATTTCACCCAACCTCCGATATAATTCATCCAACCAACGCTTAATTTCACCTTTCGAAAATATATTTCACCTGACCACTGGTATATTTCATGGAAAGTAAATTAAAACCAACCCACGCAACATATCTACGACATCTACGGCTCAAGGCGGGCCGTGTACACATGCAAACGATTCGGCTCAATTCCTAATTCATTGTTGAGTTACATCTTTTAAGTCTGTCCGTCTGGCGGTGGCCCCACAAAGGCCGCGACTCGTTCGCGCAAAGATGTCTTAATGCGGTTCTTCAACGCCGGCCACATATTCTCGATCGGGTTCAACATCGGGGAGTACGGCCCTAGTTTGAAGAACGAAGCGTCTTGACACGTCATGTTAGCGGTCAACAGAGAGCTGTACCGGAGTTTGTGGTGCAGGGATGGCCTCTTCCATAGAGCGCAGATTCAAAAATAGTCTTTCTAGAATCCCAGCTCGAATTATAACAACTGTTAGGTGAATTATATTTTCGAAAGTTGGAATTAACCGTAGGTTGGGTGAATTATAACAGAGGTTGGGTGAAATATATCGCTGATATTTTACATCGGCGTGAAATATAATGGAGGTAGGGGGAATTTTATTGGGGATTCGGTGAAATATATCGGAGGTTGGTGGAAATATATTGAAAATAAGCTGGAATAAAACGCAAAATGGTGTAGTATGTAGTAGACATTTAACCAAGCTATATATTGCATTGGCGAATTGACACCATTGCTTTGAATTTGGCCACAGGGTTGGCCACTGAGATATATCTTGATCTTTGTATGAGACTAGTATCCGTACATCATATCCGGAGGTAAGTGGACCTTTAACCTACCTATAAAGTGTCTTTTTTGGTGAAATTTGGACTTGCCAGCTGATTCGAGATTCGATTTGAGTCAGATTTGAATCTTATGCAATCTATGGTATCCACATTTGAAGAGATGAACATTTTGACTAGGCCAAACTATACTACTAATCGATGATTAGTTGAAATTTCACATTGGTGAAGTTTGATTGGCTAGGACAGTCTCAAATACACTTGTGAAATTGTGAAATTCATCCTATTCTACTCGGAAGTCCAAATAATAG